TGGTGGGGATGGACTTGGAGCAGAACCAGGACCAGGTCACGACCTCCGAGCAATACCACCAGTGGCAGAGGGAGCCTCCGGGGATGAGAGTAGGACAGAATAGAGCCAGATGTGAGGAGGCCGGCAGGACCAGGCAGGATAAACCGGCGGTTGTCACCGTGGGAAATGGCGAGGTACAGAGACGGCAGGAAGAGAGTGGTCAGGTCACACGCAGGGTCCAGTTACCGGAGTCAGTCCGCAGAATGGTCAAACAAGCCGGGGGTCGGGACAGGAGAAGGCAGTGTAGTCAGGGACAATCCAGGTCAAACACAGGAGAAGGCAGCGTAGTCAGATAATCCGGGTCAGGGCAGGAGCAGGCAGAAGGTCAAACAATCCGGGTCACAATCACAGGGCACAGGGAACACAGGTAACAGGTCAGACCTTGCGGAGATTTTTGACAGTGCAGGGCATCTTTAAATATCGTGCCCTGCACTGTCATTGGCCGCCCAGGAAGCGCCCCCGGGCTGTCATTGGCCGCCCGAGGCGCGCCCGCGGCTCCTACTGCGCATGCGTGGCCTCCTGTCAGCCGCGGCCCGCCGGGATCTGGTGCCTGTGTCCCGGTGTGAGCCGCCGCTAGTGCGCATGCGCCGGGAACGGAGCCGAGGCGGTCCCTGACAAGCTGCCCCAAACCATGATGCTCCGCCATGTTTTACAGTGGGGATGAGGTTTTGATGTTGGTGTGCTGTGCCTTTTTTTTCCTCCACACATAGTGTTGTGTGTTCTTCCCAAACAACTCAATCTTGGTTTCATCTGTCCACAGTATATTTTGCCAGTAGTGCTGTGGAACATCCAGGTGCTCTTTTGCAAACTTCAAACGTGCTGCAATATTCTTTTTGGACAGCAATGGCTTCCTTCGTGGTGTCCTCCCATGTACTCCATTCTTGTTTAATGTTTTCCTTATTGTAGATGTGTCAACAAAAATGTTAGCATGTGCCAGAGATTTCTGTAGGTCTTTAGCTGACACTCTGGGATTCTTCTTTACCTCATGCAGCATTCTGCGGTGTGCTCTTGCAGTCATTTTTACAGGACGACCATGCCTAGGGAGAGCAGCAACAGTGCTAAACTTTCTCCATTTGTAGACAGTCTGTCTTACCGTGGACACATGAACATCAAGGCTTTTGGAGATATTTTTGTAACCCTTTCCAGCTTCATGCAAGTCAACAGCTCTTGATCGTAGGTCTTCTGAGAGCTCTTTTCTGCGAGGCATGGTTCACATCAGACAGTGCTTCTTGAAACCAGTAAACCCAAAACAGGTGTGTGTTTTTTAAGGGCAGGACAGCTGTCAGCAACACATCCAATATCATCACACTGATTGGAGTCAAGGTTGGCTCACTCCCAGCTCCAATTAGCTCTGGGAGAAGTCATTAAGCTAGGGCCTCACATACTTTTTCCTGCCTGCACTGTGAATGTTTACATGTTATGTGCAGTTAAACCATGGCAACATCTAATGTTTGTGTAGTATTATGTTCAGCAGACTGTGTTCTTCTATTGTTGTGACTTAGATGACGTTCAGAGCACATTTTATGCCCAATTCATGCAAAACTCCACGTAATCCCAAGGGGTTCACATACTTTTTCTTGCAGCTGTACCCAACAAGGACCAGTGACATACTGGTACATCACTGGACTTTGAATGGTTATACCAGGATGATGCCTTCAGCTGCAGGCATCATCCTAGTATCGTTTTTTTTTCAGCCGGCGATCAGCTTTCATGTAAAAGCAATCCTAGTGGCTAATTAGCTGCAGGATTGCTTTTACAAGCAGTGGGAGATGAGGCCCCCCCTCCCCCGCTGCCTTTCCACGGCCTTCTCGGACAGTCTCGTGCCATCGGGGGAACCTGAGAATGCAGCCGGTGTTTCTGCCAGCTGACCATAGAGCTGATTGGAGACCAGAGTGGTGCCAATCATCTCTATAGTCTAAGAATTCGGAAGCTACAAGCATTTCATCACTTCAGTTTCGCAGGATATAAACAGCGCCATTTGTAAATTGGGAAAGCGTCTGATCACACCAATTTTTGGTTTGACTAGATAATGTAAGGGCAGAGAGATATCCAGAGTCTGATAGACCCCAGATTTCTCAAAAAAGAAAATATGACAACACTCATTGAAGTTATAGGGGATATTTGCATTCCCTGTTATAGCATTAAAAGTGATTAAAAAAAAAAAATGAAAGGTACAATGTAAAAATAATAAAAAAAAAATCAAAATAACTAAAAAAAAAAAAAAAAAAATCGCCCCTTCCATTATTATTATTATTATTACTACGAGTTTATATAGCGCCAAAGGGTTTGCTCAGCGCTGTACAATAGGGACAGCGCCCTTCCATGGGCGCACACCTGTGTGCACAAGCCTTGACCCTGTGTCGATATGTAAACAGCGGTTTCACCATGCATGTGTGAGTTATTGCCGTGAACGTCAGATCAAGGGCAGTAATTCTAACACTAGACCCCTTCTGCAAATCTAAAATGGTAGCTTTTAAAGGCTTTTAAAGCGTTGCCTATGGATATTAAAAATGTTTGCAGTTTGTCGCCATTGCATGGGGCATGCGCAGTTTTAAAGCATGTCATGTTTGGTATCTATTTACTCGTCATCATACCATTATCTTTTATATTTTACCTAATAATTGGCCAATATATTGTGTTTTTGTGTGCATTAAAAGTAAAAAAAGTGTTTGTTTTTTTTAAATTTGCTTTTGAAAAATTGCTGCGCGAGTACTATGTGCCATAAAAAAGTTGTAGTACCCACCATTTTATTCACTAGGGTATCTGCTTTAAAAAAATATATAATGTTTGGGGGTTTAAATTAATTTCCTAGCAAAAAATACAGATTTTTTTCATGTGAACAAAAAGTGTCAGAAAAGGCTTGGTCTTCAGGTGGTTAGAAGAGTGAGTGATGCATGGCATAAACTTCTAATGCTGGGCATAGAATGCCCCCACCCCCCAAAACGACCCCTTTTTGGAAAGTAAGCACCCCAAACTATTTGCTGAGAGGCATGTTGAATCAATAGAAGAATTTATTTTTTTACCACTAGTTTTTGGAAAATGACAAAAAAAAATAAATATTTTTTTTTACACAAAATTGGCACTTAAATGATTTACTGCTCACACATGCCATGGGTATATGTGGAATTACTCCCCAAAATATATTCTGCTACTTCTCCCGAGTATAAGCAGTTTCAGGCTTTTAAAGGGCTTTATTTCCTCATTACACTTCCAGACTACCTATCACATTTTCGGAGGCCCTTAAATGTCAGGATAGCACCTAACCCCCCCAAATTACCCCTTTTTGGAAAGTAGACACCCCAAGGAATTTGATAAAAAGCACGGTAAGTATTTTGCAGATCTCCTTTGTTGCCACAAGTTTTTGGAAAATGAAGAAAAAAAACAAAAACATATTTTTTCTATTTTTTTATATTTCAAAACCTTGTGAGAAAAAAATGAGATCTGCAAAATACTCACCATGCCTCTTTTTAAATTCCTTGGGGTGTCTACTTTCCAGAAAGGGGTCATTTGGGGGGGGTTTGGTGCTATCCAGGCATGTCAGGGCCTTCGAAACTGTGATAGGTAGTGAGGAAGTGTAACGAGGAAGTTAAGCACCTTCAGGCTTTCAAAGTGGTCATTGGATTTCAGGCTCCTGTATGTGGCTAGGCTCCCAAAAAGTCTCACACACGTGGTATCCCCATACTCGGTAGAAGTAGCAGAATGTATTTTGGGGTGTAATTCCACATATACCCATGGCTTGTGCGAGAAATAAATCATTTAAAAGACCATTGTGTAAAATAAAAAAAAACGTTTTTGTCATTTTCCAGAAACTTGTGGAAAAAAATAAATCTTCCATGGACACAATATGCCTTTCAGCAGATAGCTTAGGGTGTCTACTTTATGAAAAGGGGTCATTTGAGGGTGTTTGTAATCTCCTGGCATTATAGCACCTCATGAAATGTGATGGGCAGTCAGAAAGTAAATGCTGTGTAAATTCCATTATCTATACCATAGTTTGTAGACGCTATAATTTTCACACAAAGCAATAAATGTACACTTACTGGGATTTTTTAACCAAAAACATGTAGCAGAATACATTTTGGCCTAAATTTATGATGAAATTTTAGTTGTTTTGGATATTTTTTTATGACCGAAATGAGAAAATACTGTTTTTTTTTTGTTTTTTTTTTAATTTTTTCTTCAAAAAATGTTTTTGTTTATAGCGCCAAAAATAAAAAGTGCACAAGTGATCAAATACCACCAAAAAAGCTATATTTGTGTGAAAAAAATGACATAACTTTCATTTATGTACCATATTGCATGATTGCGCAATTGTTCATTAACCACTTGCCTACCAGGCACTTTTACCCCCTTCCTTACCAGGCCAATTTTCAGCTTTCAGCGCTGCCGCACTTTGATTGACAATTGCGCGGTCATGCAACATTGTACCCATGAAATTTTGATCATTTTTTTCTCACAAATAGAGCTTTCTTTTGGTGGTATTTAATCGCCACTGGGCGCTTTACTTTTTGCGCTATAAATTAAAAAAAGTGCAAAAAATTTGAAAAAAAAAAAAGTTTGTTTCTTTTATAAAATTTTTCAAACAGGTATTTTTTTCTCCTTCACTGATTTGCGTTGATGAGGCGGCACTGATGGGCACTGATAGGCGGCACTGATGGGCACTGATAGGCAGCACTAAAGGGCACTGATAGGCAGTACTAATGAGGTGGCACGGATAGGCGGCACTGATAGACAGCACTAATTAGGGGTCACGGATAGGCGGCACTGATATGCAGCACTGATAGGCGGCACTGATAGGTGACACTGATGATGGGTACTGATAGACGGCACTGACTGGCATCACTTCTGGGCACTGACTGGCGGCACTGACTGGCACAACCCCTGGGCACTGACTGGTGGCACTGACTGGCAGCACTGCTGGGCTGCACTGGTGGGTGGCACTGGTGGGCAGCACTGGTGGGTGGGCACAGGTGGGTGGCACTGGTGGGCACAGGTGGGTGGCAGGTGGGTGGCACTGGTGGGCACAGGTGGGTGGGCACAGGTGGGTGGCACTGCTGGGCACATGTAGGTGGCACTTCTGGGCACAGGTAGGTGACACTGCAGAGTGGCACAGGTGGGTGCACTGCTGGGCACAGGTGGGGGCACTGCTGGGGAACGGGTGGGCGGGGCTAGTGGGCGCACTGCTGGGCGGAACTTGCGGGTGTCACTGCTGGGCACCGATCATCAGGGCACTGATCATCAGTGCCCTGATGATCGGTGCCGATCCCCGCTCTGACAACTGCCGGTTCTCGGCAGTACTTTCCTCACGATCTGACAGCGTGAGGAAAGTGCAGCCGAGAACCGGCACTTGCATTTCCCTGTGATCAGCGTGTCATTGGACACCGCTGATCACGTGGTAAAAGGCCGGTGGGATCGGCCTTTCACCACATCACGTGATCATCAGCTGTGTCCGTAAGACACAGCGATCACGGAGATCGCCGGGTGCGCGCCCCCTGGGGGCGCGCAGGAGAGCGCGTTCTGGGAGGACGTCATATGACGTCCACTCAGAACTGGCCGGCCGCGGTGTTGAAGCCGTCATTCGGCTATGCGCTGTCGGCAAGAGGTTAAAGAGCTCTGTATAGCAAAAAAAATGGCGTAAATTGCAGTATCTGTCAGGAATGGACTTGCCAATAGTAGTGGGACTCACCTGCCTTGTGGGCTGCAGTACCAGGGCTGGCCAGCGGGTGCTCTCAACAACCAGAGGTTCACTTCGGCAATTAGCCATCACCTGGGGCTGATTGCAGGTGTATTTAAGGGATGGCCAGACCTGCAGTCTGTGCCTTGGTGTGTGTTTTTCCATGGGCCCCTGTATCTTGTAACCTGGGGTTTGTTTTTACCTTGTTGTATTGTATTTGTGTTTTGCTTGGGGTTTGGTAGAAGTGGCTGCACAGGGAGGCCATCTTGGCTTATTGTTGCTGGAAGGATGGATCTTGATGAGGTGGTGTATTTATCTCTGCTAGTGTTTGATGACAAAGACTATGCTTATCAGACTCTGAAGGAGTATACCCGGGATCAACTGCTAGAGTGTATAAGGATCGCTCATTGTCTAGTAGATCAGGGCACAGAGTTTTCTGAGGTGCAGCCATTGATCCAAGTTTGTGCTGAGTTGGCTCGGTCCTGTATCCCTGAAAGCAGGAATGACTTTTTTCCCCCATTTAGTGTGGATCAAGTGGAACCACTGGTATGGTTGTTGGAGGATGATCCAGATTGTTTCCATGAGCACTATGCAGCATGTCCATCACATGTGCTTATGGATTGCATAAACGCAGTGCAGTCTTTGATCAGACAGGCTATGTGTAAGCTGAGTTTTGTTAAACAGTACTGCAGACATGGACAGATTTGTTACACCCAGCCTCAGTCGGCTTGCAACATCATTCCTCTGCTCAAGGCACTCTTCCTGCATCCCCGACAGCACCCCCAGTGATGGCCCAGTATACTCTGCTAACTACCACATACCAGTCCCCTTCTCCCACTCGCTGCACCTATCCTTTCTTCAACCCTGTAAAGAAGTCCTCTGTAGCAACTGCTCCCTCCTCTGTTCCATCCTCCAGCTCTTCTCTGTCTTCAGCTGCTCCATCCGTTTACAAACCTGCGCTTACTTACAGTGCTCCGGTAACTAAAACCAGGAAAAGGCGAAAGTTCTTTCCAACCAATACCATCCTGCCAGTATCCAGAGCCTGATGTCTCTACCCAGCCTTATGAACTGATCCAGCTGATGATCCTATTATGCCAGATGACTCGATGCCCGCTGTCTTGCCAGATGACTCGGAGCCCACTGTCTTGCCAGACGACTCGGAGCCCGCAGTCTTGCCAGACGACTCGGAGCCCCGCAGTCTTGCCAGACGACTCGGAGCACCGCAGTCTTGCCAGACGACTCGGAGCCCGCAGTCTTGCCAGACGACTCGGAGCCCGCAGTTTTGCCAGACGACTCGATGCCCGCTGTTCCGCCAGATGACTCGGTGCCCGCTGTCTTGCCAGTTGACTCGGAGCCCGCTGTCTTGCCAGATGACTCAGAGCCCGCGGTCTTGCCAGATGACTCGGTGCCCGCTGTCTTGCCCAGACGATCAAATGCCTGATGACCCAGTGCCCACTGTCATGCCTGGTGACCCGATGCCCGCTGTCGAGCCAGACAATCCAATGCCTGAATGACCCAGTGCCCGCTGTCATACCTGGTGACCCCGATGCCCGCTGTCGTGCCAGTTGACTCGGTGCCCGCTGTCGAGCCAGATGACCTGATGCCTGGTGACCCGATGCCCGCTGTCGTGCCTGGTGACCCGATGCCCGCTGTTGAGCCAGATGACCTGGTGCCCACGGTCGCGCAAGACGATTCAATGTCTGATGACCCGGTGCCCGCTGTTGTACCTGGTGACCGATGCCCGCTGTCGAGCCAGATGGCCCGGTGCCTGCCGCCCTGCCTGGTGGCCCGGTGCCGCTGCTCCGCCTGGGGGCCTGGTGCCCGCTGCCCTGCCCTGGTTGCCCGGTGCCTACCGCTCCGCCTGGGGGCCTGGTGCCCGCCGCTCCGCCTGGGGACCCCGTGCCCGCCGCTCCCCGCCTGGCGGCCCGGTGCCCGCCACCCTGCCTGGGGGCCCAGTGCCCGCCATCCCTGCCTGGGGGCCCGGTGCCCGCCGCTCCACCTGGTGGCCCGGTGCCCGCCGCCCTGCCTGGTGGCCCGGTGCCCGCCGCCCTGCCTGGTGGCTTGGTGGCCCGGTGCCTGCCGCCCTGCCTGGGGGCCCGGTGCCCGCCGCCCTGCCTGGGGGCCCGTGTGCCCGCCGCCCTGCCTGGTGGCCCGGTGCCCGCCCGCCCTGCCTGGTGGCCCGGTGCCCGCTGCTCCGCCTGGTGGCCCGGTGCCCGCTGCTTCGCCTGGTGATCCGGCGTCCGGCCTGATGTTCCTCCATCCGGTGCCCAGCCCGACGTGCCTCCATCCGGTTGCCCAGCCCGACGTGCCTCCTTCCGGTGCCCAGCCCGAACGTGCCTCCGTCCGGTGTCCAGCCGAAGTGCCTCCGTCCGGTTGCCCAGCTCGAAGTGCCTCCGTCCGGTGCCCAGCCCAATGTGCCAGTCTTTGATATTCCCGCCAGTCAGCGGACCCAGGCGGTAGAACATTTTGCCCACTAGGACTGTTTGGAGCGTCCTGAGGCCGCTCCCTTGAGGGGGGGGGGGTACTGTCAGGAATGGGACTTGCCAATAGTGGTGGGAAATATTGTTTTATATTTTAGAAAAACGCACGCACAACCAACAAACATTTTCTACAAAAGTATAAAAACAATAAATAAAGAACATAACAACATCACATTCCATCATGTGCAAAACATAAAAGTAAACATTTCAAAGCCATACTAGAGTCCTTATGGCTGAAGCAATATGTACGCAAGGCCCTTTACAGCCGGAAACAAAGATTTGCATTCACGGCTTTTATGGCCTAGAAAACAAAACGTGGCCTTTATGGCCCAATAAAATCTGCATATATGGCCTTTACTGGCCTAATTAAGAAAGCACTTATGGCCTTTATGGCCGAATACAATAGCATATGTAGCCTACATGGCCTATAGTCAAACACTGTACAAAACATCACACAAAACAACATTACTTAGACTGAGGAACATAGATCTTCGGGTCCATGTAGCCTTTCTTCAAAAAAAATCATCTCTGAAAATCTAAGGGAGGGTGGAAGGAGAAAGAAAACCAGGATAGTTTACCAACACCCAGAGATCAACCAGGCGGCAACTACAGGCCTGATATTCCTCCACTGCCTTTATCCAGACCCCATCGCTGCCCACCTGTCTTTCTCCAAGACCCCGAACTTTCCCCACCTCACCAAGAATGCCGCGCACACACCTCCCGGGATAGGTAGGACTTTCTTCCGTATGGACACTTGGCACCGTGCATTCCACGTGAAATAGCGGGAACAACTAGGCTAACTAAATAAAGAGTGTCCAAATCAACACCCCGGCGATCTTGCAATGCTCCATATACCCACTCTGCATAAGACATGCAGTTGCAAGAAAGGAACACCCAGAGCACTCCCCACCTCTTTGTAGACTTCAACATTGAAGGGGACACTGAAGCAGGAAGTGGTCCATCAGTTTCCACTTCACCCGACACTCCTTCTCTCGGACAACCGCGGTCATCCAGAGAGAGGTACTTCAAGTTTCCCCCCTCACGAAGAGTCTGCCGTGAAAACCGACCCAGGCCTGGTCCCTAAACTTGAAGGGAATCCCCTCAGAATTTAATAAGCGTAAGCCCTCCTGCATAATATGGCCCGGGCAATCCCTCAATGACAAGGGCCAAGCGGGCATGACAAACAACGACACAATCCTCTCACCCAGGAGCTTCCTAGGGAGGGACTTAATATCCTATGCCGTCACACGCCACCACCTAAGTATTTTCAGGCTCGGTGCAACATAAGTCGTGAGCTCACCGTGCTTAACCCTCAGGCTTTTCACTAGTCCACCACTCTCCCAGCAACTCAGAAAAGGCCTAAACCAGTTCCGGAAGAGGCTTTACCCATGCAGGAGGTCTCTCTGCCAGCATGTAACCAAAATTGTGCCTTCAAAAACACTAGATGAGGAAGAAGACTACCCGGGTTGACCATACCTAAGGCCACCCTTCCTCCATGGATAGGTAAGTCACATTCTAGCGCTCACAAGGTTCAGCCTGCTTCTCCATAACAGCTGGATAAAGCAACTGTAGATCCTCGTTATAAAGAGACTCTGGCAAGATGCAAACTGTGCTGACATGTTTTTATCAGATCAACCCTTTTTCCCCCAAAAAAGAAGGGCCCCCCCCTTCCAGCATTTCACCTTGACTTCGGGATTGGTCAGCCCCGGCCTCCCAATTCGATTTGCCATTAAACGGCCGGGCCAAATTTAATGCCCAATACCCTTTTTTGGACTGGGTGGGCACAGGGAAAGCGTCCGGGGGCACAAAACCCTCGCCTCCCCCCTTTTCCAAAAAGGGCTTCAGACTTGTCTTGATTGGTTTATTGGACCCCGATGCCCCGGGAAAAAATGCTTATTCTGAGACAAAAAACCTTTCGCCTCCACAGCCCCAGAGACAAAAACAGGAAAAATTTATCAGGTAGGGAATGCCCTCAGGGGTGGGTTCACCAAACAACACCCACCCGGGACCCCGCAAAACGTCCACGTCCGCCCCCTTACAAAAAAGGGTTTGACCCCAAAGACGTAGGCAGGGGGACTCAGCGGGCATCCCCCCGGGGCCCCCCCAGTGCCAACCCCAAAGGGTGCCCCAATCCAAACCCTTTTTACCGCATGAAGCTTCCGCCTCTTTTACAAAGTTTGAGCCCGCCAATGAACCCCCCCTCCAGGCCATTTCCTGTCAAGAAGATGCAAAAGGTACTAAAGGGTGACCCCCTTACAAAAACTTGGCCTGGGTCCAAAAATCAGCAAATGGGTTTCCCCAGCCCTTTAAACCTGCCCCCCGCGCCAAGGGAACCCCCCAAAACAGCTAATTCCGCTGTGAAGGTGCTCCTGGCCCCCCGGGACCGGCGTGCTGCCGCCGGAAAGCAGCTTTTCTGCGACTGACGCCAGGCGCCCCGAAAAGGAAACTTTTTTGATTGCAGGTTAAAAAGCGACTTTTTCATGGAGGGAGGGAATTTAAAAGGGCAGGGCTCCGGGTTTGACCAGAGGTATTTGGAAAAAGAAACGGGGAAAGAGGCTTCAGATTTTGTTTTAAACAATATTTAAATTTTTTAATACAAAAAATACAAAATGCAGTGCAATTTCTAAAAAATAAAAAACAGTACAAAAGAACCAAACCAAACCAACCCCCAAAATAACAATTTCATTTCAATGCAAACGTTTTGTCAGGCAAAAGGGCCGGGGCAATAAACAATTGGGCAGGTAGGAAAAGGAGGAGCAGGCAGAGGTGTGGTCATGAGGGGGGGTACAGCAACTCGGGGGTAGGTACGGGGTGTCAGGCAGAGAATGGGGGGGTTCACCAAAGCCGGAAATAAAAAGGAAAAGTCAGCAGAGGCCCGGATCAGGCAAGGTCGGAAAAATCAGTCAGGCAGGAAAAGGAACGGATGCAGGAAACAAGATACGGGGCAATGGAAAAAACACAACAAGGGCAGACTGCAGTCGGGCCATCCCTTAAATCCCCTGCAATCAGCCCGGTGTTTGGTGACTGCAGGGGGGAGTCTCTGATTGTGAGAAAAACCCGTGGCCACCCCGGGGTCTGCAGCCCACAAGGAGGTGAGCCCCACCATTTTTGGCAAGTCCATTCCTGACATTGAACTTCTTGAGCAGACAGCAGTTAAATACCATCCACGAGATTGGGTGCCAAAAGACTATTCTTGATAGATTTATAAATTCTGCGTCATAACATCTGGCCCAGGTGTTTTCTTATATTGCCAGACTGTCTATGGATTTGGCTATCTCTGCCTATGTTATCTACGTCCATCAATCTTGGAAGGGGGGACCGTCACTCCCTCAGGACCCGGTGTTGTGTCACAGAAACTTACATCATCTCTCCAGGTCGAGGTGCTTCTTCCACAGAAGTTCTCTATTAAAGACCTCGAGGTCACTACAGGAATCACTGAAACGGATTTTGTCAGGGAACCCTGTTTCAGGATCCTACCAGCGGTAGCCTCTAGCATCCACAGACCGGATTCCCCAAGGCGGAATCTAAGTCCCTACCTGCTTGTTTCACCAGGGCCCCTGATGGTGGGATGGACTTGGAGCAGGCCGAGACCAGGTCGCGGCCCTTGAGTTCACCCAGCTGTGGTAGAAGCACCGTTGGAGGTGTATAGCAGGTGAGAGTCTGATGTGAGGAGGTCACAAGAGCAGCATCAGGCAGGCTGGGTCGGTAACAGTGGTGGCAGCGTGGTACAAAGTCAGCAGGCAGAGGAATAAACTGGTCACAAGCCGGGTTCAGTTAACAGGAGATCAGAACGTGCAGGGTTAAGCAGGAGAATGGTCAGACAAGCCAGGGATCAGAGCAGGAGAAGACAGCAGTATCAGGAACAGGCTGGGTCGGCAAGAAGGTATTCAGGAACACTGGATCAAACAGGAACACAGGTAACAGGTAAGACCATACGGCACTTGAGCATTGCAAGAGCTGGGTTTAAATAGGCCGCCCAACTCCTGACTGGCGCTCCTGGGTCCTAGTGCCTGCCCGGCGCCGTCATCGGTGACAGGCGCGCCTGGGTCCTAGTGCCTGCCTGCCTGTATGTCTTGTCAGGATTCTACGCATGTGCAGATTCGATCGCTGAGGCGATCTTCCCATTCCCTGACA